GAATCATTCTTGGTCCCCCATGAGCCACGGATGCATTTAAGAGCTTATAACTTATAGGTATACGTTACTGGGCCACTGATGAAATTATCCATTTAAGAGATAACTTATGTACGTTACTATTAATAACTTCTCTTTCTATGCAAGTTATTGTTTTAAGAACTAATCAACTTGCACATCATATGTGTTGTAAACGAAACAGTTAAGAAACATTAATTTTTATCTATATGCAATAGTATAAATGTCAATTATAATGATTTTCTAGATAGTTTATTAAAAGCTAAGGTAGAAATAATTACGAGAAGACCTTGAGATGTTTCGTGGGAAACGAGCGAGTAGCTTAAGACGTCTTGATGGTGTTTTTATGGCCATAACATGTCATTAAGTTGCATTTTGCAAAACGTTGAATGATCTCTACAGTACCAATTTAATTGTCTTTGACTGTCTTGGATATTGCGGAAGATAGACAATAGATTACTAATACTAAACTAGAAGTGTACGCACGAAATGTAACAAGGAAGAACGGTTCCTTGTTGATAGGCCCCCCCTTTACTTAAGGGTTGTCAACTTAAAACAAACGAGCATCAAATGTTATATAAATATTCTACAATATAATAGAATTATGTTTACACTAAATTAATAATTAATTTAGTGGGGCACGTTATAAAAAGGCTGAGAACATTTTTAATGACGATGAAAATGGTATGTTAAAATATGCATATAAAAGATAGATGTTGAATTTTATCTTATACTCAGCGACCCCATCTCCCGATACATACCCATATAGTTTCATTATTTTAAATACACATTAAATAGGTGGTAGGAATTTCGAAATTCCTTCCGCGTCACGAGCCACCGTTTGTAGATGAAAAAGCCATTCCAGCTTGAACTTTAATCGCGTTTTGTTTTCACTCTGTGAATTTCCGAATATTCCAAAGACAAAACGGGTCGACATCGCATCTAGTGTAGATGTTATATGGCTGCGACAGACAAATGCTTCATCATAAAAAAAAACGCGGCATCGTGTATAAAAGGAAATTTTCAATAAAAGTTGGCAACCCCTGCGCATAGCCCACTTGTGCAACCCAGCAACTGGAGCACGGCCCGGATTTTGTCCTTTCACCATCACTTTATGGAGATTATATTTAATTAAATTATTGTCTAATTAGACTTAGTCGTGCACATTTTGCATCAGCATTGTCACTGGTTTGTCTAAGCGATGTCTGAGTATGGAATGTCTTTAACGAAAAGAGCAAATAATAAAGATCTTGCTATAAGCGTTTTTCTTTTGTTTTATGTTCGGATATCACTTTGTCAGCTAAGGACGACCGATGTCAGGCTAAGTTATGTACGATATATGTAATATATGCAATTTGCAAAATATGCACATATCATCTAAATAGACTAGCGGATAAAAGTCTTCTTCTGCGTTAAAAAGTAACATTTAATTTTTCGATGATAATAACTTCATAAATTCATATTTAAATAATTTTTTTTTTTTAACGGTTTAACGAAAAAAGTTTTTAATTTAAATTTAAACTACTTTTGAAAACTTTATTATTTTTTCATGTTATTGCACATGAAGGCACTATACAATTTAAAAATGGAAAATAAATTGAAAATTTATTTTTCGACTCAAGGGGGACTTGAACCGGCATCGTCAGCGTTCCGGAGCAACAACACGGAAAAATTCGAAAAAAAAATTACAATTTATTTTCCATTTTTAAATTTTAAACTACTTATCAATTACTTCTCAAAAGATGCTCACGAAGTAATGAAAAGTCGTCCATCAAATTTATTAACAAAGTTACACTTTACACCTACGGCGTTATTGCACTAAAAGCAATTTTGTCGAGCCGAGTGCATGGAACCGAGAAAATGAGATTAATTTTTATAGAGCCAGCTTTAAAGCATTCTAGGGATCATTTCGATGTACGTGTAATACCTATAATAAAATAAAATTTAAATAAAACACTTTTAACAGCGTTATTTTTGCCATCCAGAAACAGAACGCCGGCCCGAAGTTTAAATGAATCGTAAATAAGTTAACTAGTATATTTCGCGTTTTAAACAGTTGAAGTGTTTCAAACATTTAAGTTCACAATACGTTTCTGAACTAAATTCGTTCTGTATGCACGAATGCACTGAGTGTAATCTATAATGACGTGTTATTATGCTAATTTTGCATCATACTATGCCCAATTACAATAAAATTACGTACACAGTACATTACATACTTATTGTAATCTTTTTGTATGTAATGTAGTTTGCGTCAGTTCACTTAAAAAGTTTGTGGTTAAAATATGAAATACACACGTTACGCCCCAAATAATAACAAGATGTACGAAAATAATATTTAATAAATACAGTGGTTATTGCACATATTGTTAATAAGCAAGTTATTGCGGGTTTTTTGTGTTTAACTTATTTACTACTTTTTACTACGGTCCGACGTTTAGGATGCTTTGCAGCATGCGTTAACTACAGAGAATGATTATAAAGCATTATTAACTAAATACTGTCTGTACTTTACGCAAGCAGTATACATTTAAATAAAACACTTTAACAGTTTAAAACGCAATATATACGTTTTCGAAACGTCGGGCTGTAGTAAAAATAATTTTCAAATAAGTATCACTACTATAAATAGCGTTTTAAGCCGTTAAAGTGTTTTATTACAACATTATTAACTGTTAAATGCGCGAAAAATATAAGTACTTAAACAATGCTGCGCACGCCTAAAGTAATTTGACTGAAATATTTCGCGTTTAAAACCGTCACATTTGTTTTATTTGTAAGTTTGTAAATGTGAATTGGATAATTTCAAAAACTTAATAAGTAGTAGATATACCTGTTGTGAAGTTTAAAATGTTGCGTCTCTATTCGGCCACAACTAAAATAGAATACTTTCAATGGTGTAAAAAGCGATGTGTAAAAATAAATAAATTATAATATTTTGCGTTTAAACCCGTTAACACTGTTTATATTGCGTATCACTTGTGTAATGTACAGATAAATGTATCGTCTTATAATTTATTTCGTGTTATAGTGAAATCCTGTTTCCCCCACGTGAAGCGCGGGTCGAACACATTTCTGTGTCCGTTTCACTGATCCGCTCTTTTTACGGGCAAGTGTAGTAGTAGTGATCTTTGTTCCTCTAGGATTCGAACCCAGGACCTCTCGCGCATAACGCAATGCTGGGCAATACGTTTAACCATTTGGCTACAGAGGCGGTTCTAGATAGTTTAACGTAAATACTGTCCATAGTTTACGTGAGTAGTACACATTTAAATAAAACACTTTAACGGTTTAAAACGCGATATATTAGTTAAATTTACCGTGACCACGGCTGCTGCAAAGCATCCGAAACGTCGGGCCGAAGTTAAAAATCATTTTCAAATAAGTTTAACTAATATCTCGTGTTTTAAACCGTTAAAGTGTTTTATTTAGTTTAACGTAACTCACTTAATCTAATTAATACAATGCTTATGTTCTACAAAGAGTTTTTATATGATTTACATAAATAAACATATAATAAAATAATTATATCTTTGAAATTGAAAAACTTCTTTAAAAATACATATTTATTAACAATTGCGTTGGTCACTCACTGACTCACGTCTTATATAGTTGGACTTAATATTCTAGATTAAGATTATACACTTTTAGAAATCAATTCAATATATTCGACGCAATTAGATGTTTAAAATGTGCATATTATATTAGCAACCTGCCATTTCTATATGTAAAACGATACTTGCTTGTTCCACTTTGAGTTAAAGCAAAAAATACTACTCGCCGAACTGTTGGAGAAATGTATTGCATAAGTGTAGTGGTCTCTCGGCATTCTTTAAATAGTTCTATCTACTAATATAATAATTTAAGCATTCGTACAAATTATATAGTATAAGGCTTACGAAATTATTTGTTTGGTCGGATATGTATGTAACAACGCCTGATGTGAAATTTTATTAAAAATTTGTTTTGGATTGCATAAAACAAACACGTGTACTCAAACCTGCGACTATAGGGTCTGGGGTGTTCATCAAACAGAAGCCGAGGAAGATCAATTGGTATCAGCACGATACTGTGTGTATGTGTCCCGGGTTCAAATCTTGTTACATTAATATTTTAATCTGAAAATATCACCCTGCCGCTATATAAAAAAAAACCGCTGTTTACCTTGTAAAATTAATTAAAAAGGATTTACCCATTTAGCTAACTAATAGGAAGAATTATCTGTACTTTATGCGAGAAAACACATTTAACGGTTTAAAACGCGCAACATATCAGTTCATTAATTATAACATCAAACATCTCTGTTTCTCTTTCATCTTTTGTCACCACGTACCTACTGCTATAATACAGTTTGCGTTTTGATCCATTTTTTTATTTCGCTAGCATTTGCGAAGATGCAAAAGAAAGTAGTTCCTGGTTAAAACCTTAAAATAAATTGTGTATAATTAGTTATATATATGATCTCATACTTTATTTGTATATGTACAGAGAATAGAGATTCTACGATGAATCGATCTCGTCCAAAGCACTTTCACATGAAACCGGATCAGATGCCCAAAATATCAATCATAAGCTGCTAATAACTACATCACTTTCATCTATTTGTACATAACTTCCGTCTTCGTGTTGATGTTACACTTTGTATACCATTATTAAAAGTCAATAAGTTAAAAGGGAAATCTATCATAGTTAGCGTTTCTTACGTCCTTTTGGCTTTAAATCACTTAATTATGATTGTTTCCAAAATGTTTAAAGTCCTATAAAAATAATAAATCATCATACAATCTATTTAAATAAAGCAAAGCAAAGCAAATATAAAAGCAATTTTTAGTAGTTTTAATTTTGTTTCTCAATCCTTTCTTTTGAATTATAATTTAATCATAATGAATAACAAACAAAAACAACAGTGCTATTTTGTTACAACGTTTAACGATTATAAATATACTCCAAAGTAAATACAATCAATAAATATTTAATTTAAGCCCTTAATTTCTGTAGTCAGACGTAAATGCCTTAACCTTTTCTTGATACAGTCTGTGCTTTTCTTCTAACTTACGCAAAGCACTGGATGGCCTCAAGCCTGTATCGATATTTACCAGAAAGCTTATCTCCACTGGTTGAACTTTTTTTACTGTATATTGGTTGTCGTTATCTGTATTGTTTCCCTTATCTGTTCCTTTAGATCTTCTTTTATCGTTTCCGTTGTTAGAATTAGAATCTGTTTTATTCATATTTCTAACAGACCCACTATTTCTAGCAGTGTTGCTTTTCCTTGTTTTTTGTTCATCCGCGGCTGCAGACATTTTATTGTTTGTTGGTTTCTCTCTAGCTCTTTGATTTTGAACACTTGCTGACCTTGACTTACCGTGGTAAATCTTTTTTATCACCGATGATTTCTCTTTCATGCTTTTATTTACCAGATAGGAATTTGTATGATCGTCATTATTTACATTTTTCTTAGCCGATCCAGGTTTGCTGGTTGAAGCTTGTCGTTCAAGATTCTTTTTGCTCTCCTCTTCGACTGCTTTTTTGTAAATTCTAAGACGATTTTCCATTCTCACCTTTTCAGAATATCTCTGTAGGCTTCTTGCTCTTTCTAATCTTGGTCGAATATTTTCTGTATCTGGCCCTAAGCCACCTAGTTTCATGTCGTGCATCGGTTGAACTGTAGCACGTCTTCTATGTTCTCGTCTCTGGGACACTTCAGAAACACTTTTCAAGTTTTCCATTTCATCCTGGGATTTATATTCAAGGTCCTGACTAAATTGTAATTCTTCTAGAGACTGGTCTAAATAAAATTCCATATCTTGATTAATAAGTTTCTCATAGTAAACATCATTATATGCTTCAGTATTATAAAAATCTGAACTATTATTTTGGTTCACTTCGTCTTCTATACTTCCTATTTCAGTGTCTCCAACTTGAGGGGACATAGAGCGTATTTCCGTTGTCTGTTTCTTTTTGCATACAGTATGTTCGATGAATTGCTTCCTAAATAAGTCTAAATAACTTGATTTTTTATTTTGTTGAACATTTTTGTTGACGAGGTAGCTCTTTGGTTCACTTTCTTTTTTTGTTTTATTATTTTTCTTATCACGTTTCTTTTCTTTTGAAAGCCGTGGCACCTTTATAAGGACATCTTTTTCATAAAAAGGCACTAGGATTGTTTCCATGTTTTCCTCGGGTGTAGTTATTTTAGGTATTGGGTTATTTTTTAAATCTGTTTCAAGGCTATCTAAAGAAAAATTGCTACGTGAACTAAATTTATTCATTATTAGCGATATAATTATAACTTTTTAGCTTTTAAATGTACTACAACGTATATTGCTTATAAATGGACTTTGACATGGGACATCACAGAAAATTTGACAGGTTTGTTTTACTTTACATTATTATTGAATAATAGGAAAAAAGATTGAATAAATATAGAGTAAGGTTAATTAGGGATTAGAAAACAAGTAAAAAAAGTACACCAATTATATTGTTAGTTCCTGATGAAAGTTATTAGCAACACAAATATTTATATTCATGTATTATCACTACCAACCACTTGTAAAAACTGAGATAATCTATAAATGTATTAAATACTGTCTATAGTTTACGCGAGTAGTACACATTTAAATAAAACACTTTAACGGTTTAAAACGCGATATATTAGTTAAGCTTATTTGGAAATGATTTTTAACTTCGGCCCGACGTATCGGATGCTTTGCAGCAGCCGTGGTCTCCCCGTGACCAACGTGAACCAACGTGTAAATGTGGACCGAGGCAAACATACGTAAATCCATTAATTCCTAGATGCGGCCAAGGATTGTATAATACTTTTCTCAAATAATGCGAAATTTAAACTAGGTAGTATGATTTCAGAACTTTACGTAGTTGACGAACAATTAAAACAATAGTTTTTTATGCACCCAAATATTTTTATTTTACTAAACAGCTTCCTATGTGCCAGCCAGTTCGAAATTAAAATTAAACCTTTGATAAGTAACCTCTTTGATCTCCATGTCGGGGAGTAGAATATCGTTCCATTTTTAAATTATACGACAATTATGATTTTACATAATAGTTAATTTGGTCGCTAAACACGTCAAATATGGATTTTTATACAATTATTGCCGGCCGCTGTGCGTCCAGTACAGCGAGTTCGATTTATCTCGAAGAAGGCTTGAAAACTTATATTTTTCACATGTTATTGCAAAACCACATAAAGTAAAAATCGACTCGGGCAGGACTTGAACCGGCATCGTCAGCGTTCCGTGCTATTGCCCTACCAATTGAGCTACCTAGTCCTACACCTCATCGTCGATTTTTTTTTCAACATTCACCTCTCGCGCAATGTAACATCAACCTAGCGTATTAAGGTAGGGCAACGGCACGGCATCTGACGATGCCAGTTGAAGACCTGCCCGAGTCGAAAATTTTTTCAAATTTATTTTCGATTTTTAGATCAACATAATAATGCTCAAATTGCAAAGCATCCTTGGAAAAAGAGGAATATAACTAAAACATCCGGAACACCTCCAAATGTGACATTTGGTATCCATAAAACTTACGATAAACACCCATTTATTAGTTAAATAATTATCACATATAAATCATGTGATTTATCGATTTTCCATCAAGATCATCCGACAAATAACACGGCCTTGGACTCCTCCATTTCAATATAGGTCAGCTCTATATTAAAATGTCGAATAGCCATAATTCACGGATCGAAGCTAATTGCTAATTTAGTCGAAACATGCTCTATTTCAAGCTGATTTTAATTTTAATCATAATTTAGATCAATTTGATTCATGTTAATCTGCTGTAAATTATTACGTACGTGTCCTTGCGCAAAAAAAAGAGGATCGCGCATACATTACAATAAGGAAGCGAAAATATATTTGAAGTTGTTATTTGTGTCAACAGGTCAGTGAGGAATTGCCAATCGTGTAAAAGTTTATTCTTAGAGCAAGTAATTTATTATATTAACAATTATTAAGATGTATACTATCTCGTCGTTCACGCGAGTAGTACACATTTAAATAAAACACGTAAAAAAGCGATGTTTTTTAACTACGGCCCGACGCTCTTCCCGTGACCACGGCTGCTGCAAAGCATCCAAAGCGTCGTAGTAAATAATTTCCAAATAAGTTTTACCAATATACTTCGCGTTTTAATCGTTAAAGTGTTTTATTTGTTAATATATCTTAGTTAATTACACATTCTTTGACGGTTCAAATCACGAACAATACTTGTTAATTAATGTTAAACTTCGCCCTGACGTTTTGGATGCTATACAGAAAACATAGTTACCGGACGACTTAAGACGGTGGGCGCCCTTAATATCAAGTCAAGTTTTCTATCTACATAGGTCGCGTTTTAAACCGTTAAAAAACGTTTTTTTTTGTATTTGTATCACTAGTGTATATAACTTATAACCTGTTATCATTTCCATTACTTTTCTTGTTATGTTTACTGGGTTCCTTCGTAGGTTATTAAATGCGGTCCCGGGTTTGAGTACCGTTGCAACTTAACTACGATACAAAAAATCATCTTATAGATCCTTCTCTTTATCTAAATACATTGCTTACGTCATCATTATCAAGGGATCAACGGTATTGTCAATTTAATTGGCGCCAATTTATCTAAACCTTGGCCCAAATCTTTCTAGCATCCTAATATAAGTTACCTTGCAATGTATGTTGACGTATTGACACGCCCAATGTGTTTTTCATATATAAAAATAAGTGGTTTCTGTTGGTCACTTTGGTACACACAGCTTTCACTGGTAATAAATACAATACAAACTAAGTTTATTTGAAAAACTCATGTCATATAGATTTTTGTAGTTAATTTATTTCATAGCTTTAATTGTGTGTTTTATTTCTTTACAATTATTTTTTTAGTAACAAGACCTCATTTGCGGTTCGTCTAGTACCGCTTTAAAACCTTTGTTTAGTGACATTTTATATATTTGCTTATATATTATGAATGTTACGCCTTGCTGTAAAATTGGTCCTGCTGTTGCTCTAACAAACAACAGCTAGAGCTTGTTAAAGCACGTAACGCTGTGAATGCCGGAAATTCTGCCCGTGTCGCAAATTTATAATAATTTTTTGATTTATATATAGTACCACTATGTGCATCATCAGTGACAAGTGGTTGTAAGACATTTCTTTTCCCTCTAAAAGATCTAGAAAAACTAAAGTATAGAAATCATAATTACTAATAAAATTAGAATCTAACAACGGTAATTACGAATACTTATTTTAAGTCCAGTACATTGATGTCCTTGTTGAGTGTGGAAGGAAGAAACGTTGTTCACCTTTGGAGTTTCATCACCTCAATCTAAGTTTGTCGAACGATACCCGCAATGACCTAACCAGTCTCCGATCTACAGAGAATTGCTAATCTAGTGTGAAGTAAATATCTAGGTATAAAAACCAAAAGAAGGCCAAATTTTCTAATGATAATGTTTTTATAATCGAAGCGATACTTGTTGATACTTTGCGATTGTTCTTCGGTTATTGTAAAAGGTCACAGGTACCCAAAAGAAATAATGTGAAATGATTGTTGGTTTCTGAAGAACTATAAAATGTTTTTTTCGTCTTTACGTGCCTGTTTGTGTGTATGTTTGTCTGGCAGAAGTATTTAAATACAGAAGGTTTAAAACGCAAAAAGAAAAACCGGCCCGACGTGGCAGAGGAATATTTTAACGAATATAAATTGCTCACCGCAACTATATAAAAACGGAAACCTGCAAACTAAAACCGAAACGCGAATTCACACCAAACGGCTTGTCCATTGTAGACAGCCTATAACTACAAGAATTTGTATTTTTACATAACATTTAAATATTCCACGCGGTATCTTACTTCCTTAGAAAAATTAATTGACGCCTAGACTCAGTGAGTTAGAATCGAACCCGATGATTATTGACTTTATATGTTTTCATTGTTATCTACCCCACTAGACCAAAAAGCCAGTTCAAAGATAACTCAAATTAATACAAGCTCCCGCGGTAGAAGTTCGTGACTGTATTATTATGAATGTATATTTTACACTTAACAGCTATTGTATTTGCTTCACTTGGACTGTGGCAATGCGCATTGACATTGTATCGAGGCCAGGTAAACGTGCATTTCACGATCATATCTGTTCGTACCTTTTGTTTTATCTTGTCGGCAAGTGTCTGAAATCTATATTAAACTACTGGCTGTGCTAGCGACTTCGTCCGCGGGACATCGTTGTTTTGGGATCAAATGGTTGCAAACGCTCACCTTTATAAAATGTAACTGTTAAAAGATAGACCTATGTCTCAGACATATTTTAGATCATTTAAAGAAGATTTATTCGTGATTCATTTTTTTTGACCCGTTTTCACACGCAAAACGCAACGGAAACACTCATCCACTATACATATCCCACTGTTATTTTGTTTCTATTGATCGCAGCGTGATGTTTTTATCCGAAAGCGTTTCTCGGTAAATGCTCTAACCATCACAAAAATAATTTTTCAATTCGAACCTGTAGTTCCTGGGGTTAACGCGTTCAAACAAACAAATCTTCAGCTTTGTAATATTAGTATAGATAAAGCATATTATAAAAAGGTACCGTAAATTGTACTTTTACATACCTAGTTTATAAATCCATTATTTAATACCCAAATATTATAAGTATATAAAAGAAAAAACTAAGGAACTATGAAAATTCATTCCTCCAATAATGCATTAATTTCGACCAAATTTGATTACCATTAAAGCGGTCTTGCTAATTAAGATATTATTTCGCCGACATTTTTTAGATAGTTTCAAGAGGAATAATTCATTCAATATTCACATACATATTTTTTTCATTCTTGAACCGTTTTCGCACAGATGACATCAAAGATGACTTTCCCCGACTTTCCTCGCCTGTATTGGTTGCAGCGTGATTTTTTATGTATAAAGATACCTAAAGCCTTCCAGAATAAATGCTATATCGAACACAACAATATTTTTCCTCAATTCGAAACAGTAGTTCTTGCAATTAGCGAGATTAAACAATCTCTTCAGCTTTATATATTAGTATAGATTTCAGTGAGGTCAGTCGAACTGTTTTTGTGATTGTTAGCCACACGACTCACCTAATACAAAAACGAAAAGACAAACAGACATTTTTTTTGTACTGCATCTAGAGAATATATACTGTCTAGCTGATAAAAATATGGTATACCTTTTATATTGTCTTTAACGTCTCTTTGCTATTATGTGTATGTATTTGTAAGATATTATTATACATATTTCTGGAAATACCCACCTCTAGCAATCGGAGCAATATTCCAACAAGACCCCTTCTTTGGTGACAACACCCAAAGCTAACTCCATATAAAAGAGCGGGTAGGCGAAAAATATACATGATGTTATAAAACCTAAAGTCATCTTCGTTTTAATTAGAACCAGTCGGTTCTGAGACCGCATTTTTATAAACAAACAAACTTTAGCTTTTTACTATTAATTTAATAAGTAGTATAGATAAGATATACTTTTCTACATATGTCTATATTGTGTGTTCAATAATGGCCGCAAGCGCCACTTGATATTTTAATAGATCTTTCGCAATCTGCTTTAAATAACTACCAAATAAATATCATCCTACAACATTTGATGACAACATAGCATTGCAATACAACATAACGCACGGTATTCGAAAGGTGTTTAAAGTTCAAGTTTAACAGACATAATATTTTATTGCATTGGTTCAAATTATAGTTATCCTTAGTTTTAAAATCATTAACTGAAACATCAAATACGTTGAGACGAGGTCATTTAGACAGATAGCATAACTTTTAATTTTATCAAAATATAGTAGAATTAGATACGACATTTTGTGTATCTTATTATAAAAAAAATATTTGTCAACATCTAATTTTAATATAATAAATACACGCTACCACGTTCCGCTTGTAAAGCACCGAAAATTAATATTTTATAGCCAATTTAATGTTTTAAAGCTATTTTATACCTAATAAAGCATATTTGCATTTCATTCAAATTAACTTTGAATTTAATTCCAGATTGATAAAACTTATATACTAATGACTTATATAATGTTCACGATAACATTAAATTATATATGCTGACACATAAGACACAAAATTTGATTTACGGTTTAATACGCGAAATCCGAATACAGTTAACTAAGTTTAACGAACGTTTCCGAAGTTTAACTTACTAAATTGTTCCATCGTGTTTAGAATAAAATCAAAGCTATTAACTATTTATTTAATGCAGGTATACGTCTGCTTATAATACTTACAATTTCATGAAAAAAATAAACAAGACATACAATACTTGTTCAAGACCTTTTTTATTTCACCACAGAGAAAACGTTTCTGTAAATTCTTCGTTTTTTGCTCTGTGGAAAGAGTTATCGACTTGATAATAGCTCTGTCGTATGTAAGTACATAAAATGCTTAACTGGCTGGAGATATATTTACGATCATGAGTATTTATCGCGCATTTATGTTGTAAATCGATAATGCTGACAGATTTATAAAAACTGATTGAGATGTATCTACCTTTGAATTTAATCGTATCCTAGACAAGTTAATGCACACAAAATGGCGATTTGTTTTCTATTTATGTTTTTGTAATATGTCATTATCGTAGTATATGATTTGTCTCTTTAGATCAATAGTGGAATTGACCGCTTTAAGCACGCCTTATAATCAGATATTTAATGAAACAATGTAATACTGTTTGTCGTTTACGCAAGTAATTTTATAAAACACTTTAACCGTCTTAAACGCGATATATTTTAGATGTTTGAAAATTTTTTTTAACCACGGCTCGACGTTTCGGATGCTTTGCATCAACCGTGGTCATAGGGAGAGTAAAGATGAGGGATGTCTCTGACGCTAAAGTAAAAATTGCTACGCCATCTGTTCCGAAGAAGTTGGTATTCGACGAAACTGGCTGGGTCCTTGCAGACTCACTGCAATATATTGCGTTTTAAACCGTTAAAATGTTTTAATGTACCTAATACTGTACGTTTGTTCGTTTAAAGTAATATAATTGTTTACAGTACATAAATCAACATTTTCTCTATCTGCCAAAGCAGTATATTCATGCCTTACACAATTCGATTATTTTTCCTTAAACATGCATTTTGCAACCACCGTATCATCTTCCAAAATTGCGAATTAAGAAATGTAATTTATCGTCGAATCGTTAAATAAATTTGGTTTCATCTCCCACTTACACGTTTCTGTTTAAAAATGAACCATGATACGATACACAAGGCAGAAATTATTATTAATAAACAACATTACGTTATCGATTTTTAAACTTTGTACGATTCTCACGATCAAAGTAGTTTCGACCGCTTAATAAAATTGGATACTTTTTCTGCCTATCGGAATTTTAATGTTGAATCCACGAATGTTTTGCACGAGTATTTTATTTAACAAGAACCCTAGATGGAGAATTCAAGAACCTCGCTCCAAAATCGTACAGCATGACACTGAACGCTAGAGATGGACCCTTATTCGGTTCTCTTTTAGCTATACCTATTTTTTATAGACTTCGGCTTCGCTTCAAACCTTCGCTTACATTCAGCCCATCTCTACTGTTTATTGTATAGAATTTGTCCTTGTATTGTTACATTGGGGCTGTATTAACTCGCAAACAGTAATTATTAAGTCAAATATTTCTTCGTCAAGGATGTAGAACAAAGTGAATGAGCCTCTGCAAGCTTCCTTTAAGCGTAAATTGTCTTATAATTTAGTTCACTACTTCCTTACACAGCAAAAGATTTAACTGATAAAACCATTGTTTCATTCGTATGATTCACTTATTTCAAACGCCATAACAAGTAAGAAAGTAAAAGATGCCAGATTAAACTATTTTCAAACGTGATGCAACCCGATGTTCCACTTGTTTTTTTATTGAATATACTTAAAAAAGAGATACACCCATACAATCCTGTAGAGAAAGGAGAACCAGATAAAAATGACGACGGTTCCAACGAAATTGTATATTATATTGTGATTGGTTCTTTTCGCGGTCATTTTTATCTGACAATCTCCTTTCTCCACAGATGGCCACGAACTGGAGAGGCAGAACAAAATCACCAAGCAGATCCTGGAAGCCTTCATACAGAAGAAGTTAGGTCTGGCGAGTAATAACTACAGGGCGCCGTCGATATTTGACATACTACCTGGAAAGACGTCGGAGGAGAGACCAACACGACAATCAACGAACGAACGACTCCGGCAGTCAGAGCCGGAAGGTTTACCAGTTAATGGAGAATCTGTTAGTGAAGATGAAGAAGTAAATGCAAATGAAGAGAGAGCATATCAAGATGGATTGGAATATGTAGATATTGATGCGTTGCAGAGCGTGGAAAGCGAGCAAATTGACTCAATATATTCAGAAGGTAACTAAATTAAGAATTTTAAGTAAATAAGTGAAATAAGAACGAATGTAAATGTTTTGTAATATGGAGCCTTGCCGGCCTAGTATGCGCATGATTTCCGTTCTTGAGGCCGGAAGTTTGATTCTTCGACAAACAGATTTAAGTGTAAATTCTACAGAGAAACGCGTTGCTAAGACGCGTGTTCTATTTCCAATTATTCAAAATGCTTTGACAAGCGTCGTAGATTACGATATATCAATAACGTTTACAAAAACAAATTTTTGAATGCCCAAAATAACTATTCTAAGCGGACAAAGTCGCTGATACAGCTAGTGTCTTGTAAAGAGCACAGTGCCCAAAAGCGAGGTGTTTTGAAGATATGATGATAATTACAAGAAAATTGAAACTGTCACCGCTTAAATCGATATCTTTCTTAATTCAACGGTCAAGTTCGTTTATCGACTCTTGCGCAGTAAACTACACGTGTATTTTTTGCATATTATAGCTAGGTACCACATTTAATAATCGGTTGTGACGATACATTCTGAGGGATAAGAGAAATCTGTCAACTTCCTAAGTTGACAGATTTCTCTTATCTTGTCATTGAATTTAATTCTAGCGTCGTTGAAATTTTTATTTTTAATTATTTCCCATTTATAAAACCGCGTAATCTTTTGAAATTTTTTGTATTTGCATACAAATATTTGCTTCGGTCCAAACCATTTAGTCAAATAGTGCGTAATGAGTACTATAGGCCATTGCGTAGTATGAGGAACAATTATCACTTCGGTGCAAAGATTGTTCAGCACACATTAGGAAAGAAGGTATGACACGAGGTTGCTCAAGACTACCTAAACTAAGTACCTACTATCTGTTGTTTTCACGAGTAGTACACATTTAAAATAAAACACTGTTACGGTTTAAAACACGATATGTATTACTTAGACTTATTTGAAATTATTTTAACTAGGCAGCCATGGTCACGGGAGACTAAAGGGTGTCTGACGTCAAAGTAAAAAAAAAACTTAACCTAGTAAATAGACATATCTTTTGAAGTGTGTAGAAGTTTGTAGATTCCCATAATATTATGGCAAGGGCTTATATTTTCTGTTGATTAATAAACATTTCTTAGCACAATAGAAATTTGTATATTCCTTTTCGAGAACAAACACACAAAAAGCAGTAAGTAATTATTATTGTAATTTTGGCAGGCTTCGACCGTTCAGTTATATAAAAATATTAGATTTCTTTATAAATTCAATAAAAAAGTACAAAGTACAAACATTATTTTTTTTAACTTTTTTTTTAACTTTAATACTTTTAAATAAAACACTTTAACGGTTTAAAACGCGATGTATAGTTAAACTTATTTGAGAAATGATTTTTAACTTCTGCCGACGTTTCATATGTTGCAGTAGGCCGTTTTCACGGGGACATTAAACGGGTGTCTCTGACGTCAAGAAAAATTGCTACGCTAGCCCATCTGTTCCGTCGAAGTTGGTATTTGGCGAAACAGGCCGGGTCCTTACAGAATTGACAACGCGTGTCTTGCGTTTGCTGGTATGCTGTTTATTGGATAGACAAATAAGTTTAACTAATATATCGCGTTTTAAACCGTTAAAGTGTTTTATTTAAATGTGTACTACTGCGTAAACTATAGACAGTATGTAAATTTGGCTTTACGACTGTAATTGGGCACAGTCGTGGACTTACGAATATCCAAAGCCAAAATGTTCTACAGGGCAACTTGTAACTAGGGCATTTTTCCTACCACCATGTCTGCATATCTTTCCTCCTCTATAAAAAAAAATACCTCAGCCATATTATGTCTTGACAATATGCGCCGTTGCCCTGTTTTGGCGCCCTGTTTGGCAGATACTAAAATACTTAAAAATGCAGAGACGAGACAGTTAAGGTGGTTATTTTCTGTGTCTGGGTAGGTATGGATATAATAAAATGGGTCGCACTATCCTGCGAGGAAAAAGCAGTAGTGCTAGTAAGGCAACGGCCTTTCCACCTACGCAAAGGTCCATTTCGTTAAAGTAAATAGGCGGTCATCAATATATAATGGGTTTATTACCATTGCAGAGGTAACCCAACTGGTTTTGGTGTTCCCTAGCACTTAACATGGTTTTTATCGACATAAAAAGTGGACCTTGCATCAAGGACGGATCTATAAATAGATATCTTTAAGTTGTATTCATTTTGAAGTCTTAATTGAAATATTGATTGATGACAATTAAATAAATACGAAATGAAATTAAATGAGCGTGTATGTTTAAATACAATATTTTAACGGTTTAAAACGCGACATGGTTTGGAGTATGGGACACGTTCTTAGTCGAACACGCTTTTTGATCTCTTAACGTCTCAAACGGTTTTTATGGAAATCGAATATAGTATACATATAGATTTTATGCGCTCAAATTGTTAATATTATTGGTTAATGTTAGTCTCCCCATGATCACGACTGCTGCAAAGCATACGAAACGTCGGGCCGTAGTTAGAATAATTTTCAAACAAGTTTGACTAATATATAGCGTGTTAAACAGTTATTCGGATGCTTTGCAGCAGCCGCAAAGCATCCGACACCTCGGGCCGAAGTCAAAAATAATTTTCAAATAAGTTTAACTAATATATCGCATTTAAAACTATTTAAAGTGTTTTATTTGAATGTGTACTACTCCCGTAACTCGTCCGTTTATTTGTAACTACTTAGTAGTAGGTATACGATCCACAAAAATGTTACGCAATTAAATTATTAATATTCATATAAAATCAATGGAACGCTATAAATCGGAATGTAAACTAATCTATAATTAATACTTATTAGTACCATCAAATCTCGATTTCATTCAACCTTGATACAATGCTATAAATCAGAATTATTATTTCGTATTTTAGCACGACTCATCTTTCCTTAATGTCAAAAGTTCATTGGATTTTTAATAATAACATCCTTTTGGTACTAGTACACTTTTTATGGCCGTCATAGCATGGGGTACACTCGATGGTAGGTTGAATACCTCAGCCTACAGCATGTAAACAGGACGCGCTGTCGTGGACATTGGGAAATCCACAGATAAAAACTCGATTAAAGTTCACGGTTTTTTTATCTGTGGACCCATTAATCCAGGAGCGGGGCCACAACGGGGGGGCCCCCGGGGGGGGGGGACCCACTGCCCCCTTTACACCAGGGGGGGGGTAAGGGAAGCAATGTACGTAAGCATGGGAGGTTAGAGCTGAGCTCCTGCTCGTAACCCCTTAAAATGTAAATCATAACTATAAATGACATCATAATTTCGTTCTTTAACGCTAATCACCCTGACATCTAGATCAATGATCTACATATGTATTGAGTGTATTTTGTATTTATTTATACGGTGTAGCTAAATAAATAACCGGGTCTCCTCTATGTGCTCATCATTGCTATTTTTCAAATTGGGCATTGCTGATTTTTTTTCAATTATTAACGGTTTAAAACGCGATTTATATTATTTAAAATTGTTTTAACTACGGCCCGACGTTTCGGATGCTTTGCAGCAGCCGTGGTCACGGGGAGACACTTACCAATAATATTAACAATTCGAGCGCATAAACAATATACTGTATTCGATTTCCATGAAAACAGTGTCAGTCGCGAAGGGATCAAAAGGTTGTGTGATGGACTAATGAAAGAAACGACCACTGAGACACAAATAATTTTTACCATACCCCAAACCGGAAAATAGGATTTCCCACTTATAAGAAGAACGTACAATTTACAGTAAAACTTTCGTTTTATATTACCTGTTGAGAAAGTCGCATAATTTACCCGTAGACTTAACTATTATTATCTTAGCCATGGTTACTGTAAGCAAGATTGCAAATTAAATAAAGTAAATCTTATCCAATCTTATTCTAGAATTGTCTTTTATTTTTGTCCCCATATAATACTAGCACTCCACCCCGACTTTCTACGGGTATTAAATAAACATTTCGGAATTATTTTTTTTACACTCACAGTCCGAAACAGAAAGCATTTTCCGAATCGGTCAAGTACTTTTAGAGTCTTTTCATTTCAAATAAACAATCAAAGCTTTCCTCGTTATAATATTAATGTAGAATTGATTTATATAGTTAAATGTACGTGTTGTTGTAAACAAAACGAAGTCTAGTAGCTACTTCTAATAAAACACATTAAAATACAGGATTTGTTTTTCATTACTTCTTGGGTTTCATTTAATGAAGTCGTAGGTATGATTTGTAGTGTTGTCGTAATACAGACATTTGTATGTCTTTTGTTATTTTTTGAAAAAGTTAGTAAAAAATATATAACCAAATAAGTATATTTGATTGTACAGCATTTATTCTAAACTCTACCGGACACAAGGAAGGCTACACATATTCGGTTTAAAATGAACTCATCCGTAACATTCTGTCTCAAGGTTCCGTCTTATTGTTTCAGGTAGGAGTAAAAAGTACCACAGCCATTCGCTTGATGCTGACTTGGAGCCTAGTTATCGTAAGCAAATTATAAATTACATTAAATAAATAATTAAACTTGATTTAAATATTAAAGCACAATTGCTCTTAAACAATAAAAATGGACCAGACTAATTGGCCAATACCAAGTGTGAGCTGTTCTGTACAGTATCTATAGGTATATATATATATATATATATATATATATATATATATATATATTGGAAGATTGTTGTTAATATCTAAGATAACAAAAAACACATTTGTTGTGTGATTCTCTTTAAATATTAACTTACTTTCTTTTTTTGTATTACAATGCATTATATTATAAACTATTTAGCCATCACGGTCAAAAATCCAGTTAAATTGACTTCGGTAACAGACAAAAAAAACGTACAGAGTGTCTTATTGTAACAACATATAACAATACATTGTGTAAGGCTTTCGCGGCTATTGTGCTACTAACAAAATAAAAACGGGGTCTCAACCCAAGCTCAATATAGGTATAGTATCCTGTTTTAACATTCGGTGACGAAATGAACAATTAAAAGCCATAGTTGATACA